GGTCTAAAGCAGACCACGTCCGCATTTTTTAAGCCTAAGGGAAGGCCAATCCCTTTTGAAGATTGGGTGGAGAGGTGGACAAGGCTTTGAGAGCTTTGACCAAGTCAAAATTGAGGAAGGAATAAAATCAAAGTGCACCAAATTCTCGGCCGAGCCTACGCTTCAAAAGATAAGTATCTTTAATTTTAATATTATTTATGTTTATTTTAATCAATATTTTTTGTCGGTTAAATATCACACTATCACGCACTTATGATCAAATGCCTAGTAGAGTGTGGCTTGAGACCCATCACTAGGATTTAAAGCCCTGACTCCTCAGGCACAAAGTCCTGACTCCTCAGGCACAAAGCCCTGACTCTCATGCACGAAGACCGGTCTTAGTCATTCCAAGAGTGGCGACCGTTGCGTACGAATGACTCACACCTCCGCTCTACTAAGTATTCTATCATTACATCAACAATTCACATTTCCACTTTTTCAAGTGACGAACTCCCGATCGGTAACATAAACCCCAAGAAAAAATTTATATGCATGCTAAATGTGTAGGTACGAAGATGACTTTACTCATTTTCACCTCGACTCCACTTGCCTCAAAGAGTGGGGGACTCGGGGACTCAGAGGTCAGGTTTTCTAGATGAGCAACAAATATCACGCATGAGCAGGAACGAGAGCTAAGTCAGATGAAGACAAGTTGAACCAGACAAAAATGATTATGCCAGAGGGAACTTACCTTCCTTGTTTTATGTTGGGGGCGCTAGGTGTACTCTTTTTCCCTTTATTAGGATTTTTTCTCACCGGGTTTTTTCCTAGTAAAGGTTTTTAACGAGGCACCTTCCCATCATGGACAAGGGTGGTGGTCCCCGGCCGGAGAGGAAGAAATCAAAGACAGAAGAACATTGCAGATATAGTTTGGACTACTCCCTTTCGCCTCGAGTACTCTCGACTCAGGGGGTGGGGGACTCCTGATGGAATATATGGACTTCGACCCCCCGGTCTGCCGACTACTGGGCCTAGACAGCGGCCCACACACGTTTAGCGGATATAATTCATATTATTGTACATTATTATTATTAAGATGTTCTAGATTAGCTTTTTATACTATCAGTCCATTTATGTAACCGGGTCTGTCAGGCCCATATTAGAGGTCCAGACCCGGATTTTCCCTATATATATTCCTTATAGGAGACTTGTAAACCATAACAAATATTCATTCATTCTATACACTTTCATTATTTCTTCTCCATTCTTGTTCAATCTCTCCTGTTTATACAATATGGGTATCAATTATCCAACAGTGGTTATTTTCCCAACAGTCCCCTCCTATTCAACAGTGTGCCCATGTTTTGCTTTATATGTTTGGTCATACGGATGATATAAAAACACACATGATCATATTTTGGGAAATCTCACATGTTTTAGTATTATTGAGGTATTTTTCCCTACTCTAAAAACATCTAAACATTAAATAAAACTAAAAGTGTTATGTGAATATATAAATAAGAACATCACTTCCTAGATGTTAACATTCTTTTTAGAAATAGAACTGAACCGTATACATATTTTAGGAATGGAATCGAAAAATACATAAGTCAAATTTTTTAAAATCCTAACTAGTGATATCAGTTTGGGTCGATTTCCCCAAGTTTTTACGGTTTTAAGTATGTTTTTCTGGACCCCGGTTTCAGTTCTAGACTAAATTAGAACAAACAAGACTTAAACATATTAGATCAAGCTAAATCAGACTTAAACCGACCAAATCAGGGCAAGCTTCGACAATTATAAAATACATAGAGATCAGACATTTATCGAACCAACCCCGACCATAACAGACAAGACCGGGCCAGAAAATATCAATCCAAGTAAAAAACATCCTTAGGATGTTTTTACTTTGACTGTAATATGTCACAGATCAGACCAGAACAGTCTAGACCAGATCAGACTTGGATAGTTATAAAAATACAATGAGACCAGACATTATCAGACCAGACCAGACCAGTTCAGACCATACCAACAAATTATAGTCTAAGTAAAAACATTCTAAGTCCCATGGAACTATATTGTTAGTCTAAAACAACTCTTTGAGTTTAGTAAAGATTTTCTTGTAGAAAGAAGGGTTCAGAGCTCAAAATTTAGTTTAGATAAAAATAAAAATAAGATGGAATGAGAGGATTAATTAGGAGCGCGTTTGGTGACCCTGTCGTTCGGCTTATCAGGTTTATCATCCAACTTTTTTTCCAACCAAGTAACTTCCGATTCTCGCGCTGAATTATGTAATAATAAGAAAATGTAAGGTTGAAATTACTTTTCTGACTGTATTGATTGAAGTTACTGTAGAAGATCGTTTTAGCAGTTTTTCTATATTTTATTAAGAAAAAATTCCACCTTTGGTCCCATGACTATTATACCACTTCCACATTTAGTCCCTTACTTTCAGATTGTCCATATTTAGTCCGTGACCATTATCCCCTCACCACCCCTCATTCTTCGGGCCGAAATTCCGGCAAAATTAGTCCACTTATCAGTCTCAGAATCATTCTTTGCATTAAATTTTATATAAACTTGGATTTTTCATATTAGTCTTTGCCTTAAATTTGGTTTTTCATACATAAAATCTGCATTAAATTTAGGAAAAATTGATTGTAATAATCTCAACTATTGGCGGTCCGCTTATAATAATCCCAACTATCGATTATCTCAGAATAATCCCAACTTTAGTGACCTTCCGCCAATAATGGTCCGACATGGCCGGCTTTAAATAAATTCCTATAGTTTCTAAAGTGGATGAGAAGAGATATAACAAGTAATCCCTATAAATAATTCAACTTTTAATTTTTACGTTTTTTTCTATTTAAAATTCACTTGTTATAGCAGGTCATATTTGGTCATGGACCATTATTGGCGGAGGGTCACTATAGTTGGGATTATTCTGAGATAATCGATAGTAAGGATTATTATAAGCGGACCGCCAATAGTTGAGATTATTACAATCAATTTTTCCTTAAATTTATCGGAATTTTGGCCGGAAGGACGAGGGATGGTGAGGGGATAATGAAGATGAACTAAATGTGCACAATCTGAAAGTAAGAAGCTAAATGTGGAAGTGGTATAATAATCACGGGACCAAAAGTGGAATTTTTTCATTTAATTAAGGGAAAAGAGGCAAATAAGGCCACATACTAACCAAAAAAGGTTAAATAAGGCCTTATTTATGAGGCTCTGTCCGGCCTTTGCCATTTGGGGTGGTTCTCGGTGGAATTTTTTGATGCATTTTTTTTACCATCTTATTCATTAAGTCTAGTTTACTCATACCAAATTTCAGATAAAAATTTAATCGAGAAGGCATTCAAATGAATTCTTGAAGATAATTGCGCTTTTAACTGCGCAATTATCTTAAAGAATTCATTTGAATGGCTTCCTGATTGAATTTTTAGCTTATATTTGGTATGAGTAAACTAGACTTACTGAATAAGATGCTCAAAAAAGTTCATCAAAAAATTCCATCGAGAACCAACCCAAATGGCGAAGGCCGGACAGAGTCTCATAAATAAGGCCTTATTTGACCTTTTTTGGTTAGTACGTGGCCTTATTTGCCCATTTTCCCTTTAATTAATTAATATATTTTATTTTTTCCCCTCATAAATCAGGAGAATCAATCAACTCAGCCACTTCAACCACTTTATCAAACGGGCTCCAGACGTTTGGAAACTCAAGTGTGAAAAAACGTTTTCTAATTTTCATTTTCAACTATCAATGCAACTTTGCTTGGGATGTCAAATTGCTAACCAATTGATTATGTGTTAAAACCCCATTGGGATATATTGGAAAGTTGAAAGGCTAAAGGTGATGGAATTTATAGACTTTCAAACATTGGAATGTTTGTTTCAGGGAACTTCAATATTTCCCAAACAAACTATTATTCATATTGGCCACCCGTAGGGGTGGACCGGTTCCGGTTCGGGCTCGGTTCAGGCCTGAGCCCAGCTGGGCCTCGGTTCATGAAAGGGGAGGCCCGGAACCGGCCCGGGTAACCCCGGATCCGGTCCGGGCCGGGCCTCGGTTCTTGTATTTTTTTTTGGTTTTTCCTAATTAACCCCCAACCCTCCCCCTCCCCCCAAACCACCCCAAACCACCTCAAATGGCCCATCATACCCAGCCCAACCCAAAAACTTAAAAAAAACTCCAAAAAAAATTCAAAAAAAAAATAAATTGGCCCGGACCGGGCCCAAACCGGCCGGGCCGGTTCACGATTTAGGAGGCCTGGGCCCGAACCGCCTACCTCACCGGGCCTGGTGGCCCGAACCGGAGACCAACCGGTTCACCGAGCCGGGCCGGGCCCGCACAGTAGCGGGCTGGTCCGGTTCCGGGATGGTTGGCCCGGCCCGAGTCCACTCCTAGCCACCCGCATGGGTAACTCAATTGGTTGAATGATGGGAAAGTTAAAATATTGATCAAATATCGAAACCAACAACAATCATGTGGAGGCCACAACTTTTGTGTGCTGGATTGGACCTCTGGTGCGCACGGGCACAAGATCTATCATCGACAGAGTTATCGTGACTTACAATCTCCCAAATGCTTTGTTTGATCGAGACGTGGAAGGCCCTCAAGATCGGAGATTCAACCTTTTGGAACATCTATTCATATTGGTTTATCTCTATCTCTGGGACTCTGGGAGGGGAGGCTTCATGATTGATGAACCAGACAACACTTCACAGCGATTTCCATCTCATGAGTGTTCTCATGGTTACAACTTTACCCACACATCTCACTTGTTCAGCATAACTTAGAGAAAATTGTTCATGGTAGAACTAAAACATAGCAATCTTCTGAAAATAGAACAATTTGTTTAGTTTCTTTAAATAAGATTAAACATTATATTTCTACCCCTAATTTAATTAATGAATATAACAAATCAAAAAAGGCTCCTCTCCTAGTATGTGTACGTACAGGTCGGCTCATATATGTATATTCTCCACTACTGGAAGCAGTAAAGCAGCATGCTAAATGTGTATTTTAGGACTAGCTTGTATTCTCATTGTTGTTAATAGCAAACAAAATCTCCTTCAACCCATCTTGTGTTTGTAAAATGATCATACAAATTCGGCATAACAAGTCATAATCGGATTGGATAATCTGCTAGGCATGATACCTCAAATCTTCCCTGGTACTCTTACAACTAAACAAAAGCACCATATTATTAATGGGTAGCACTCTTTCATATTAGAGGCAGGACAACTTTGTATTGGAGAAAGTGTTCATATGACAAAAAAATTGGAACCATTTCAAAAGTCAAGGCAAGAGGAATTGGTCTTTTGAGTGTGTGGCCACAAGGCAAGTTTTTGTACATTGGTACACCTGATTTGATATGGTCCAAAAGCTCCAGTATGTTATCTGGGAGGCGTGGAGCCAAACATGTCAATTAGAGACAAATCACCATGTTGCTGAGATATATGACGAAGGAATACCCAACCTAAATATGCCTCTCTCAATTAAGAATCTTATATACACAACGAAGAGGGTACTGGAATATCATCACTCATAATGGCCTTTATAGGTTTTAGAAGACATCACTTAACGTCTTTGATTCAGTCAGCCTTGTCACGGAAACTATTCCTGTTAGTGGGAAACAAAAATAGTGTTATCAGAACCTCCACGGCAATAGTGTTATCACTTAGCATTTGTGCAACATACCCCTATTACCACTGCAATAGCATACATACTTACATATCTACCTTATGGGTCGGGTCATCAGAACCTCCACGGCAACATTCAAATCTCCATCAGCAGCTTCTAGAGCAACCTCAACTTGTGTCCGGGAAAAATGACACCAACCACAAGAGAGCAATAGGATTGAGATGCTTACCTTATCAAAACACATTGCAACCAGTTTCTAAATGTCTTCATCTGATGGAACACGACCCTAGTTTGGTTTGAAAGTAATGTCATATGTATTACTTGTAAGCCTGATATATGAAGAAGTGAAGGAATAGTCTATTTGCTCGTTTGTTGTTTGTCTATGTTGGCAACTTTTCCATCACAATACCTGCGGGATTTGCACTGCTGCAGCTGTATTCACGGCTACTGGCCTGAAAGTTGAAGCAGTACTGGAATAAGGAATGATTTTTAAATCATAACTGAAACTCAAAACCATATTATTTTGAAGCATTGATGTATTAAAGTTTGTTAAAAAGCAGCAAACTACAAAGAAAAAGAATATGATGTATGAAAAAAGCACATGCAAAAATCTATAAAGCAGTCTCTAACTTGGCAAGAGAAGAATGGGCTAAATACATACATAGACATTAGACTGATAATTTTTACTTTCAAAGCAGCATTGACACTTTCAAGGGTATAAAATGCACAATGTGTTGCTTCCTTCCTTGAGCAAGCAACACATACCAAAGAGTGATGAATAGTTATATAACTTTTCACCGCCCAATAAAAGCAGCCAATGAGCCAGGAATAAATGTACAAAAAAATATTCATATTGGACCAAACCATTTCCATCATTTGCAATGGAGCCAAAGATTCATTATTTTTTGGCTTGAGATTATGATGGAATAAAACAAAATGGCTCACTAAACTGTTTGCGCTTCTTTGTTATGGAGCAGCAGTCAGTCCATGCAATTTTGGACGCGATTTTCACTATGGGTCATCCGGAAACAGTCTCTTTGTGCTTTAGTACAGGGGTAAGACTGCGTACATCCGACCCCCCCTTACCCCACCGTAGGTGGGAGCCTTTGCGGCACTGGGGTAAATGAAAATGAGATTGGACCAAACCAAACTTAACCAAATTAGACTAAAGCACTAGATCAAAGAAACATCAAGTAAATAATAAAAATACATGTAATATCAAACCAGAACACAATAGAGAAGTACAAACCAGAAAATTCCCATCCAAATGAACATGCCAGAAAAGTTTCAAAAAGCAATCATGCTATTCATCCCAAAAAGAAAAGCCATGTTCTCTTGTGACTGCTCTACTTTCAGGTTGTCGGAAAAAATCCTTTCCTCTACCACTTTTTTTGGGTTTTGTTCTAATTTTGTTTAGTGGGTTACTAAAACACCCTTTGTTCTCCTCTGAACTTGTCACCAATAGCCCTGCTGCTTGCTTACTAGCAGCCCAAGCCTGAAGCATTTCTTCTATCTTTGGTTCTGGTAATAAATCTTTCTCTTTCATCTCCGAATAGTAACTGTTTGCATCCTCAAGCCTTCCGTTCAGAAAGAGTCCATGTATCAGTACAATGTAAGAGCTTCGGTCAGGATCAAGTCCATTTTTGATCATATCAGTCCACAATCTGAAAACACTATCAATTTGTCGCCAACGGCATAATTTCCTAATCAGCATGATGTATGTGTCATGTGTTGGCTGACAGCCCATTACATGCATGTTATGCAAGAGTTCAAAAACTTCTTCTTCTGTCCTCATGATTCGAAAGAAAGCATGGTAAGTTCGTACAGTCGGGGTTATGCCTCGTTGTGTCATCTCATCAAATATCTCCTTGGCTTCACATGACAGACGGTGCTTACAAATGGGCATGATCAATGAGTTGTAAGTGACCACATCAAGAGATATACCCTTCTCTTCCATCGTCTTCATTACATTCCGAGCTTCTTTCATCAGCTTTCCCTTAGCAAGAGCATGAATTACTGCATTGTATACTTTCCTATCAGGGCTAATACCATGTCCTTTCATTTGGTCAAAAAGCTTGAGCACTCCATTGAGATTAGTAGACTTTGAATAGCTAGTCATGATGCTGGAATATGAGAAAACATCACGGGGAATCCCCATCTCCTTCATCAGCTTCCAAATTCTCTTCCCTTCACGAAGGTCACCAACAATATTACACCATCCATTGAGAATGATATTGAAACTCTTGGTGTTCAAACCATACACTTCCTTGTTCGCAAACAGCAAGTGTTCAGCATCATTTACATTCTTGTACCTACAAAGGGCAGAGAGGAAGTTCTGGAATTCCTCCGTTCCTATTTCAAAGTTAAACCGCTTATGTGCATACAATGTACTGATAGCTTTTCCAACCTCATGAACAGCACAATATTTCCTTATCATGATCAAGAGTGTCTGTGGAGTAACTAGAGACGGCCCGTTCCTCCCACCCCTCATCTCATCAATTAATGCCCATGCCGTGTCAAACTTCCTCATTTTCCCAAGTATAGCAATCATGGAGTGGAACTCACGTACAGAATGTGCGTAGCCTGGTTGCTTCCCAGCCCAAAGAAAAAATGTGAATGCCAATTCCCAGTCATTACGAACCCTAGAAATGACATCTGATACTAGCTCAGGCACAACCTTTACATGACATTCCTCAAGCTGCTTATTCACTTGAGACGCATTTACCCCTGGATTTTGTAAAATACCCATGATTCTTTCGAGACTTCCAGTCAAATAATTTTGGCTTCCGTGGACTATAGGTCCACCATTGTCTTCATCACTATCACTACAATCTTCATATTTGGTATCGCCATTTTTATTGTCCAAATAAGGGACATCCCATTGTTTGTTGCTCAAGGAAGTAAAAGAGGAAGAAATGACTCCAAAGGTAGGAAAGCCTGACCTGAAAGGCCACGATGAATCATCGTCCAGTATTGATGGTGACTGGGGAGCTATGAAATGATTAGTGAAGTATTGAGGTAGAACCAGTTGGTTTAATGGATAAGATGGACCAAATCGGTGGACTCCAACCAAGAATATGGAGAGCAAACTTTTCCGCCGGCAAAACATGACTCATTTATTGAAATTACAGCCAAACTCTATCACAGCCACAGATCCACGGCCAAGGTGCTCTACAGGCTCTGTTCGCAAAATGAGAGAATCTGTGACGGTCTCTTCATCATATCAAAAAGATAAATAAGAGTAAAAAATGTGAAGTTTGAGTGTTATGGCTTACTCTGTATGTTTTTTTGTAATTACTGCCCAACGGAACAGTCTTGTTGGACTTCTTTGGTTGAATTATTATGAACCATGAACGGCTTTGGTTTGATAGATCTGAGATCGGTTTGGTTCTGATTAAAATCTAGTTTTTAAAATGTAGTTTTTCAATTCGGTTCGGTTCTAATTAAAAAAACAAAACAAAACCGTTTTGCAACTAAACAAGGCCAAAACTGTTCAGTTTTTATCTTTTCAGTTCCTAAAATTCTAATAATACAGCAATCCTCCTAAATGAATACAGATTAACTTCTGCTACTTTAAAATATTCAAATTTAAAAAACAATAAAAATAAAAGAAATTTGTATAGGCATTTGGTCAAAGTTACGGCCATTACATGCTGTGAAACAAATTTTAACATGCATAAAAAAATCTCAAAAATTGAGCACATTCCACACATCCAAAAAATCTCAAAGTTACGGCCATATACTATAAATCTATAATATAAAATCTGAACTAAAAAATAAGCAAACAAGATGAGAGTCTTTAGAGAGGAATAATCTTTTGACCCATGGCCTCATGATAATAGCAATAATAAATTAATTCATAGTTTCAACTGCCAGATTTGATAATTTGCTTTCAAAATAATAAGTACGCTCATTGACATTTTTGTTTAGTTTCATTAATATATATAATATTTACTTCCTTAATTTTTTAATGGAAAACTGTCAAATAGACCCTCGTAATATATCAAAACAGTCAATTAAGCCCCCGAACTAAAAAAACATCCAATTAAATCCACCAACTATAAGAAACGATCAAGTGATGTACCGGTTACCCGGTCATACTGCTCATGTGGCGACCACGTATTTAAAAAAACTCTTTTTTCTTTTCTTCTTTCGTCCTTTCTCTCTGCCTTGATTTTCTTCGCCCCATCTGCTTTTTCTTCTTCTTTGTTCCGTCTCCCCAGTCTCCTGTACCAAGCCTTCCTTTCTTTCTTGGATTTTTCTAACTTGTTTTCCTTCTTTCTCAGGTTTTACCATTGTAAGTCCCAACTCCCAAGCCTAATTTTGGAGCTATACTATAAGTCTTAAACAACCATTTGGGTTCAGTAAAGAATTTCTTGTTCAATCTAAAACTTTAACCCTTGCTTGTATAGTAATATCTTATATACTTTGTAAGGGTAGTGAGTTTATCAGGTAGCTGGGATGTGAAAATGTTAACTAATTAATTGCGTGGTCAAACCCTGTTGGGATATATTGGAAATTTGAGGGGCAAAAGGTGGCTATATCACCATGACCAATGGGCAATGTTGAAGTTTCTCTAGAAGAGAACATGAATGCAGATAGAAAGAGAGTGTTCTTCAGGTAAGCAAAGCATGTGCATTATATATTGCTATAAACATCACAAATGTGGTCCTTAGTCTTATTATTTTTACACAAAGTCACACCCTAAATTTCTTGGAATTATCTTTGCAACAAAATGATGCATATTAGAAAATGCTAATAACAAGACTTCTAATTAAACTCTTTTCTGTAATATACTACACTCATTCTGTTTTGAAATTCAAGTTGGGCTCAAGGGGGTTCACACTTCAACTTTTATGTTACCTATTTTAATGGTAGATAATAAAACTAGAAATTGAAATACACATTATTACTGCATATGGTCCTTCGAACACAGTGCAGAAAGTAGTTTAAAGCTCAAAGCTAACTAAAGAAACAGTACAGCTTCTCTCTATAGCAGTATAGCAATTAGCACATACACCATGTCAAAGTGATGTGCAAAATTGCAAAACTGAGAAATCCTAGAAACCTATTTATGCAGTTTTGCTACCAAAATTTCAGCCCAGATGTGTTACCATGACTCTCATAACACCTTGCATTAGTTAGCCCGTTAAAGAATGCAGAATAACACTATTAGAACATTTTATTCAACCTACAAAGAGATATATAATGCTTATCCACTTATAGGTAAAATGCTTTTGATTTATCACTTAAGTAGACGTGCTACTTTCTTAAAAAAATTGGACAGTTAAGGGCATACGGAACAAGTGAATAACCTAACCTCTGTTTGAATAACCACGCTAAAGGAACTCCAAAATTTTATAATTCAAATTAAAAAATTATATTAAATCCATACAGAACCAAAGGCCAATTACCAATCTAAAGAAATATATGAATTGGGGGGGAGTAGTTTTGATAACAAAATTATTCAACAAAAAGTACATAGGGACGAACATTCTAAAAGAAAAGAGTAAAACACAAATACGGAGTATGAACTTATGAAGTGGAAGACATAAATCATCAATGGTACTTACCTCCATGGAATTACCAAATGTCATATTTGATTTTTGCCAGGAGGAAGACATAAATTTAGAACCGGCCAGCAGAGACTGGAAATAGATGAGGAATGAAGTTGACGAACAGAGCACAGACTCGGCTACAACGACGGTATTTGATGTATTTGGCGCATACTGGGTGCTAGCAAGTCAAAACCCTGGTTTTCTTTTTTTTGAAACCAAAACCCTGGATTTTTTGTTTAGAAATTAGTTCAAATAGGACTAAAATTATGGCAAAAACCTAAAATAGGACTTGCTATGTTTTTATTCCAAAATAGGAACATATGAATCCTATTGGAAACATACCCATTTTTGCATTCCATTCTTATCCTTTCATTAAATATGAATTAAAAATAGTCAAAAACCATAATTAAATGTTTAATTCATAATAAATTCGAAAAAAATTCAAAAATTCTTAGAAATATAATTAAAAAATTTATAAAATTTTTATAAAATAAAAAATTCAAAAACTTTTTTTTAAAATAATTTTATTTTTAAAAAAATTAATAAAAAATAGTAAAACTCCGTAAAAAATTTAAAAAAATATGGATGCCTTTCCCACCGCCTGTACTACCTCCCAGCACCACCACCTCCGGCCGATGAAAAAAAATGCTATTTTCCCAGAAAAATGCCATTTTTTCTGAAAATGCCAAAAAAGTGGCATATTTCTCTTTTCGAATGCCAACATTTTCATTTTTTCTGCCATAAATATGGCATTCGTAATGAACTTGGCATTTTTTTCCCCTGGTGACTGGAGGTGGTGGTGCTGAGGTGGGAGAGGCGGCGGCGATTTTTTTTTGAGTTTTTTTTTTTTTATTTTTTTTTTATTTTTTTAATTTTTTGAAAAAAATATTAATTAAATTTCTAATATCGAAATGTTTTTCTTAATTTTTTAGTATATTTTACGAATTTTTATTATTTTTTATTATTTTATTAGGAATTAAAACATTTTAATAGCTATAAGGGTATAATTGTCCAAGGTACACATAATTAGTCCTATGCAAACATAGTTTATTTTTTGGTCCTATTTGTGAAAAGTGAAAACATAGAGAGGAATAATCTTTTGACCCATGCCCTCTTGATAATAGCAATAATAAATTAATTCATAGTTTCAACTGCCAGTTTTGATAATTTGCTTATAAAATAATAAGTACGCTCATTGACATTTTTGTTTAGTTTCATTAATATATATAATATTTACTTCCTTAATTTTTTAATGGGAAAACTGTCAAATAGGCCCTCGTAATATATCAAAACAGTCAATTAATCCCCCGAACTAAAAAAACATCCAATTAAATCTACCAACTATAAGAAACGATCAAGTGATGTACCGGTTACCCGGTCATACTGCTCATGTGGCGACCACGTATTTAAAAAAACTCTTTTTTCTTTTCTTCTTTCGTCCTTTCTCTCTGCCTTGATTTTCTTCGCCCCATCTACTTTTTCTTCTTCTTTGTTCTGTCTCCCCAGTCTCCTGTACCAAGCCTTCCTTTCTTTCTTGGATTTTTCTAACTTGTTTTCCTTCTTTCTCAGGTTTTACCATTGTAAGTCCCAACTCCCAAGCCTAATTTTGGAGCTATACTATAAGTCTTAAACAACCATTTGGGTTCAGTAAAGAATTTCTTGTTCAGTCTAAAACTTTAACCCTTGCTTGTATAGTAATATCTTATATACTTTGTAAGGGTAGTGAGTTTATCAGGTAGCTGGGATGTGAAAATGTTAACTAATTAATTGCGTGGTCAAACCCTGTTGGGATATATTGGAAATTTGAGGGGCAAAAGGTGGCTATATCACCATGACCAATGGGCAATGTTGAAGTTTCTCTAGAAGAGAACATGAATGCAGATAGAAAGAGAGTGTTCTTCAGGTAAGCATAAAGCATGTGCATTATATATTGCTATAAACATCACAAATGTGGTCCTTAGTCTTATTATTTTTACACAAAGTCACACCCTAAATTTCTTGGAATTATCTTTGCAACAAAATGATGCATATTAGAAAATGCTAATAACAATAAACTCTTTTCTGTAATATACTACACTCATTCTGTTTTGAAATTCAAGTTGGGCTCAAGGGGGTTCACACTTCAACTTTTATGTTACCTATTTTAATGGTAGATAATAAAACTAGAAATTAAAATACACATTATTACTGCATATGGTCCTTCGAACACAGTGCAGAAAGTAGTTTAAAGCTCAAAGCTAACTAAAGAAACAGTACAGCTTCTCTCTATAGCAGTATAGCAATTAGCACATACACCATGTCAAAGTGATGTGCAAAATTGCAAAACTGAGAAATCCTAGAAACCTATTTATGCAGTTTTGCTCCCAAAATTTCAGCCCAGATGTGTTACCATGACTCTCATAACACCTTGCATTAGTTAGCCCGTTAAAGAATGCAGAATAACACTATTAGAACATTTTATTCAACCTACAAAGAGATATATAATGCTTATCCACCACTTATAGGTAAAATGCTTTTGATTTATCACTTAAGTAGACGTGCTACTTTCTTAAAAAAATTGGACAGTTAAGGGCATACGGAACAAGTGAATAACCTAACCTCTGTTTGAATAACCACGCTAAAGGAACTCCAAAATTTTATAATTCAAATTAGAAAATTATATTAAATCCATACAGAACCAAAGGCCAATTACCAATCTAAAGAAATATATGAATTGGGGGGGGAGTAGTTTTGATAACAAAATTATTCAACAAAAAGTACATAGGGACGAACATTCTAAAAGAAAAGAGTAAAACACAAATACGGAGTATGAACTTATGAAGTGGAAGACATAAATCATCAATGGTACTTACCTCCATGGAATTACCAAATGTCATATTTGATTTTTGCCAGGAGGAAGACATAAATTTAGAACCGGCCAGCAGAGACTGGAAATAGATGAGGAATGAAGTTGACGAACAGAGCACAGACTCGGCTACAACGACGGTATTTGATGTATTTGGCGCATACTGGGTGCTAGCAAGTCAAAACCCTGATTTTCTTTTTTTTTTGAAACCAAAACCCTGGATTTTTTGTTCTCTTTTTTTTTTTGGCAAAAGGATTTTTTGTTCTATTTAGGTCATTTCAATTTTCTTGTTTTGTCCTATATACTAGTATCATTTTAAAGTTTAATCATACCGAATACTACATTCATATTTATTTTTTTGGTTATATGAGAGTTTTTCAAAAAATCTAAAGGTAAGAATTAGGAGAGAGGTGAAAGACTATGAAAGAGAACATGAAAATATAGAAAATGTAAGAATAATAAGTATTTTAAATTAAAAAAACTTAACAAAAACAATATTGAAAAAATTAATATATTTTACAAAATGATAAGTGTAGGAAATAAAAGAATATGGAGAATACATAATACATATTCATATGTGAAGAGATAATATAATAGGTTAAAAGTGAAGAAAATTCTTGAAGCATGAGTAAAAATATTTAGTAATTCCAAAATAAGAGCCCTATGTTTACTTCCCTATTAGGAGTACCTTATTGTCATCCTGAAAATATAATGTTATACTTTGACATTAACGTAAACATTTTTCTATACACCCATAAGTGACATTTGTACGAAATAAATTGTTTTCAGATTTTGATGATAGCGTGTAATTAGGAACTTAGAGTACCACCTAAATAGATTTGAAAGCATGAGCATTTCAGTTGTAAAGCATTCCAAGACAGTCTATTCATCTCCTTTAGACTGTTTCTCCATATATTTAATTGAGAACAACTTCATTGTTTTCCAAATAAAGTAGTAATTATTCATTTTCAGAAGTTAAAAACATAA